GGATAACAGGAAATTCTAATGAAACAATGTACACTTTGTGTGATAATTTATTACACCGCTTATTTATACTTTGTTTACAATAGTTACCTTTTGCTGTATTACTTCCAATGTTGGAACCTTGTTCTCCTTATATAAACTATAAATTGTCCTTCGTATAAAATCTTGGGTAGCTCTGTCAACTGATTTCAGTTTTTCTTTACATGTTTTTCGGTTTTGTGAATGATCCACAGCAACCCCTTTTGTGACTACCCGATAAATGGAAAATTTATTTACTTTAGTTAATTCAGCAATTCTTATTATGATCGCATTATCAGACTGCTGAATATTTTCCTTTTTTAAACATTGGAATATATTTAAAATAACTTGTTGTGTTTGTATATCTAAATCCTTATTGTGCAATTTCATTTTCTTCATTCGCCCACGGTCTAAAGAACATCATATTTATATTTATTAAAAGAAATTTAAATTAAATCAACCACACATACAAAACACACTGCACGACAGTACTCCACTGATATCGCAGACTGTCTTCCAGGAATATTTTCGAACCATCCTCCCCTTCGTAAACCTTCGGCCAATACAGTGCATTTAAGTTTACGATTCGATGTTTTCATTGGTTAACAACGGAGATGATGGATTTTGACACATATATATCAAGTACACGTTGACTGACCGTTCCTTTAATATTTACCGCATTGTATAAGGGGAGTAAACATTATTTTTCGTTTCTAAATTTGGCATGAGTACCGTGCGTATATATTAAATATTGATGATTCCCCACATAACTGTGTTCTGCAATTGAAATTGGAAGGACATACCTGATTGGTATTTCATGAATTTACAGAGTGTTTTTCATAATTGCATTTAATAATAAATAAGAAATTTTTTTAACCATTTTCAAATAAAAACATTTATTCATTTACTTGTTAGGATTTATCATCATTATTTGTACAAAAAAGAAAATGTTGGCTTTAAAATTAATTGAAAAACATTCAGGAGTATTGTTAAACAGTTTATCTCAATTGAACTATATATAAAAGAACTATTTCGCTAATAGTTTTTGATTAAATCAAGCATTTTCCAATACATCTCTACAGTAAACTTTCTCGTTTTTCCAGCTTGCTTATAAATAAATAATCGAAGTAACAGGACACGTGGTGGATGAAAGGAAATGAAAGTTTTATCGTTTTATGCCCCGGAAAGACTTTCATGAAATATATACCTGTTGCTTCACCAAACCGGACGTCAGAAATAATTTAGTAATATTGAATCGATGTTTTTGCATGACCTACGTTTCTGTTTTAAATAAAATAACACTTTGAGGTGGCATAAAATAATAATTTGACGCTTGAAATCCAAAATAGTAAAAGACTGTAATAAAAGAGATGACGCGTATGAAATTTTAAATCGTTGAAGAGAATTGATAAAATGATTGACACATAATATGAAAAAAATATACATTGTTTTTATGGCCAGAAAATTTCTGCAAATAGGTGATTAGCAATGGGAAATATTCAAACGGTTCCGATGTAGTGAAAACTAAGAGTTGCTAATGACTTTTACATAGTTTGAAAATCAGAAACTGTATTAGTTATGCAGTCCTGCAGTTTCATAGATATTAATACATTTCAAGTGTACTGTGTCATCTCTAAATTTAACTTTGCTACAGATACTGTATCATTGTATGGAGCTTTATATATAAGCGATATGGACAAAATTATAAATTTTAATAATTTATAAAATTGATGAAAGAAATATTGATTTTGATATTTCTTTCGACCAATTTTCAAACATTTTTTTAAATAATAATAGTAATAATAATAATAATAATAATTGCCAAAAGATTCGATTCCATATCAAAATAAATGAATATCATAGGAATTTATTAAGTGAATATAATTTTATATCAATGATTAACAAAAATACGAGACTAATGTATGATATTTCAGGTAACTGGCCTGAACATATTTTTATGAAAAATAATATTCCAAATTTCGAATTTGAATGTATCTTAATGGTATTTGAAAACAACATCACTGATCATAGTGCTACAATACTAGGTTTACCTATTCAAATTTTAAAAATTCCAGATAATTCTAATAAAAATGTATGTTATAAAAATTATGAAAACTTGAGAAATGATTTAAATCATTATGATTGGACTAATTTTCATAACAGATGTTGATACTTTGATACGTGAGTTTATTTCATTATTAAAAGAATTAGTAACACAAAATAATTTTATCAAAAAAATTAAAAAAATGTAACATTCAACGCAAGCAATGGATTACTGCAGGTATTGTAAATTCAGTCAATGAGAAAAATAGATTATATCATATCTTTAAATTAGATCCAGAAAATGAGCAAAAAAAGCATCTACCTTGATTATAAGAAAAGAAATAGTATTTATTTTAAAAACCTAATCAATATTAACAAGAACACTTTCACTGAGATAAACCCAAAATCTCTTTTTTTGCGTCCTGTAAATACTAATGAAATTCTTGACATTATCAGGTCTCTAAAAAATCTCCAGGATTTGATAACATAAAAACAGAAATTTTCAAAGAAACTGATGATTTAATAGTACAACTAGTTTGTCATATTTCAGTTGTAACCCCTGTACATAAAAAAGGTGAAGTAAAAAATATAAATAATTACAGACCAATCTCAGTTATAATTGTACTGGCTAAAATATTCGAAAAAGCTTTAAAAAATAGAGTATTCACATTTTTTAACGATTGCAACATCATATCAGTAAAACAATTTAGATTCAGAGAAGGTTTATCAACAAATGATGCCACAGGAAAACTTGTTTATGAAATTACAAAATGTTTGGAAATAAATGAACCGGTATTATACGTTTTTCTTGATCTGGCCAAAGCCTTCGACACTGTGAGCCATACACAGATGTTGGAAGCTTTGGAAGCTGCAGGTATACGTGGGGAATCTAAACAATTATTTGCAGATTATTTAACAAATCGCAGACAAGTGGTAAACATAGACAAGACATTTAGCAAAGAAAAAATACTGTAAATTATGGAAAAACCTTTTTATGCCCTTTTCAAATAATTCTAGATGTCTCCCTACGTATCAGTCTTTAACTATTTAACATAATACAGGAAAAAAATCATTAAAATCTAATAGCAGTTATAAATATTTAGGAGTTACTATGGACTCACACTTAAGGTGGAATGGATATACCTATTGAAAATATAACTAAACTACGAAGACATACGAAGACATACTGTTTTAAATATTTAAAAAAATGTTTAGACCAAAAACACTTAAAAATACTGTACTATTCTTTAGTTGAATTAAGACTTCCTTATGCTATACTGAGTTGGGGCGGTGCAGCATTTTGCTACCTAAAACAACTTAATATTATTCAAACACGTATTCTAAAAATAATTTTAAATAAAATACCCACTTACCCATCTAATATGTTAATTTTCGAATCTGGTATATTGGATCTGAGACAGTTGTTTATGCATCAAATTATTATGTACACTCATAATAATAAAAACCTTTTAGAAAAAGTTAGTCATTCATATACAACAAGATATAAAGAAAATGATAATGTAAGAATTGAATATTAGTTTACGTTGTTATATTTAGCTATCGCGAAAAATTTAAATGGCTTACCTGAAATTTATAAAGATTATTTACACAAAATAAATTCTATCATTGTGATAAAAGATATATTTAAAAAATATATAATTTTGTTAGGAAGAAATCAGACTAAACAATAGAATTATTAAATGGTTAAATTTTTCCTGACATCCCCATGTATTCATGTATATAAATATTTTTTTCTCATAGTAATTATCTATATCTATCCATTTCTTAAGGTCACTTGTACAATGAAAATATAATTTTCTTTTTGTAAGATATTTATGCGTCACAAACATTAAGTATTTTATTTTTGTCCATGCACAACCACTCTCTTGGTTTTTTCTTAAATGTAATTTATGTATGTATTCCTATTATGTGAATAAATAGATATTATTATTATTATTATTACATTAAAAATCAACATAAGTAGTTAATAATTAGTTTATCCTAAAGTTTTATTTTTACTTCAGTTAACTTTGCAGTAAATATGGAAGACATGCTCTTAAAGTTTAAATACCTGTCGTGTTTTATTCATATAGTTTTTTCTCAAACAAACTTTTTTTTAACCAACTTTAGCTAATACTGGCTCCTTCAAAGTTTTTTCAACCATCTCAATACCTATCAATTTGAAGTTTGTCAAATGGGCTGTAAAAAAGTTAAGAGTTTCGTATATTTAAGAGACAACGAAACAAAATATTGATTTTTAGGGCAACGAAATGCTCCTTTCACGGGTTATTTTTAGATCCAAAAGAATATTTTATTTTCAATTTGATTAACAAAAAGCATCAAAGTGAACTCGTTTATATTCAGGTTTTTATAAATATGGAAATAGCATTAGAATTGCAAAACTGGTCAGTGATATGTTAATCAGGGATTCTAAAAAGTTTTTCCATCGACCCATGGTAAAAATCCTACATGGACCATAATTTAATTATATTACATGGGGTGATACCACATTCTTTGCCATTCATTTATATTATGTTGGAGAGCTTGAGAGGAAACACATATTTAATAATAATAATAATAAATAAATAATAATCGAATAGTGCCTACCTAGGAAGACATAATCAGGTAGCCAAAATAATACATTTCCAGCTAGCGCAGAAACTAAACCTAACTAAAAATCCTCCACCTTACTATCGCTATAATCAAGAGCCGATTTTAGAATCAAGGGAAAACATTTTATATTGGGATCAGCCGATACTTACTAATCGAACAGTGGACTACAACCGACCTGATATCGTCATCATTATCGGGAAAGAACATAAAAAAGCATTTCCATAGGTTATTTCTAAAATAATGTTTGATAACTATTGAATAGTCAACCTGGTACATAATTACATCTCTTAAACAATTAAATTTAAACTTAAATTTATCAAAGAGCTCACCTGTGTAGACAAGAGCACGGCTCTCGTGCACTCGAAGACGTTGATGGAAGCGTCCGGCATTGGGGCGTATATCGTGATGACGTAAGTAATTCCAAGAAGCGGCATCAGGACCAGTAGAGCTTTCGCCGCCTTGTGATATTGTTGCGTTTCTAAAGTGTTCGCCGATCGAAGCTTCGTGATCAGCACCCACATGATACACAGGAGGAACACCAAATTCAGCAGGAGTACGATGACCGTGGGAGCTTGGAAGATCCAGTCGATTGGATGGGTGTCGAACCATCGGCACTGAAAAATAATGAGATGTCTATAGATGACTATAAAATGAAACCAGCAACAAATAATGATAATATCGATATTAATATCCGAGATCCAAATACTGGTTTGCAGTAGGGTTGCCAACTCAGTGGAACAGATAACATAAATAAAAATCAAATATATAAAAGAGTAACACAGTGCACTTTGTAAAGACATTTCATGCGTATGAAATTTTACAATATTTTTAGCCTGGCATTTTTTTTATAAAGTTGTATTTTGTTACTCCGCGGGTAGCTTACAATACTTCTTCATTAGAAGAGATAAAATGATAAAACTCCTTGCATGTGTATTTAAACGTTTAGATTTGATATAAGTTTCATTAAGGCGATTAGAGCAAACGAAATACTTTTTTTTCTCATTGTCTGATTCTTCTATAAATTTTTCAAAGAAATTAACCCAAAACATATCTACTATCGTTGTTTTGCTTGCAATAAATCATACAGTTCATCCTCATTTATGGGTATATTGAGAAAATAACGCTCAAAAGCTTATATTAAAGAACTTGCAAATGTTGTTGATAAACTTATTGAGGAAATTACAGTTAATTTAGTTGAAAGGTTACAGTTTTCGCAACACATAGAGAAAATTGAAAGTTAAACCAATTTAGAATCAGACTCTTCTCTTTCAGATTGCTCAAATAAAGTTAAAATGGCTGAAAAGTTCGATTTAAAAACCGCGGCTAGTCTGCTACTAGTTATGAATGGTACCGAAAATGTTACTAATCAATTAATTGATGCTATTTAGTTATATGACGCTATATGCTTGATGCTGAAGGAAGTCAAAATGCAAAAATTAGACTAAATAAAATTTATAATAATAAAAATCTAGTTAGTGATCTTAAAAAGTTTTTCATTTCTAAAATGTGACGATTGTCAACGTTATAAACACTCCATATCAAATAAAGAGCCAATGACTATCACCACCACAGCTTCCTCGGGGTTTCAAAAAAAATACTTAGATTTAGTTGGTCCACTTCCACAAGATTCAGAAAACCACAAATATATTTTAACTTTACAGTGCGAATTAACAAAATTTGTGAAGGAATATCTATTAAAAAAAAAAAATAAAGAAGCGCACACCGTGGCTCAGGCTTTGGTAAATAACTTTATTTTAAGATATGGTATTCCAAATGAAATTGTTTCAGATCAAGGTACAGAATTTCTGGCATGTATCTTAAAAGAAATGTGTTAGTCTTTACAAATTAAAAAGCCTAATTCAACATCACACCACCATGACACACTAGGTGCTCTTGATAATTCTCATAAAAATTTAGGAGCATATTTGCAAATTCAAGTTTCTAAATACAGCAATGCATAGAGCACATGGATACCTTACTGGTGTTTTGCTTATAACACGACGGTACATACCAAAACCAAGTACACGCCTTATGACTTAATTTTTGGTAAGCTGGCTAAATTGCCCTCAAATTTAATAGACCAAATAGACCCTATTTATAATTTTGATGATTACCCCCTCCAGCTAAAATATAGATTGCAACAATTTAAATATTTCTAAAGCCAAAAGAAAATCTACGTATGATTTAAATCAAAAATTTGTAAAATATAAAATAAGAGATAAGGTTGTGTTAAAAAATATTAGTACCAATAAGTTAGATCCCTTATATAAAGGTCTCTTTGACGTTAAAGAGGACAAATCTTCAAATATTACTATAAGGATTGGAGAAAAAAGTGTTGAAGTGCACAAAAATTGAGTTAAATTATATAATTGTTAAAAAAAAAATATTTATAGATAAATATATTTTTTTTCTTTTTCCATGGGAGATGTAATAAGTACTTATACATATATATATTTATTAAAAAAACCAAAAAAGGTTGACAGCTGTGTGCACGTAGTTTAGATTCAAAAAGGAAAAACTTGTATTTCGTGCAAAACTTTTTTATTAATCAATGCAAAGCGCTTTCACGCGAGTGACATTTTTGTTTTGTCTTGACATCAAAATAATAATATCTTTCATATTAAACATTTATTTAAATTTAAATAACAATAAATTAAATCTTTAAATTCAATAACAAATTTTGATCTCCGTTAACCTCCAATCACTCGAATCACACTCGGAGAAACATGTTCCACACTGAGGTGAACGCACCTCCTTCTGTTGACATTTGACAAGTCAAAGTCTTCAAGTGTCGCTTGTCACCACTGTCATGTGGAAACGGTTAAACAACTTGAACCAAAATGAAGAGATAAATTTAAATTTGAAAATACTAATATTAATAAAATTATGATTTAGCAAGTTGTAAACATCCCGAAATATATAATTTTGGGAGTGAGGTTGACCAGGACCTTGTTGGATACGTTGTGGACAGTAGGTAGACTTTTTCATAATTATAATGTATATAAAACATATATAAAAAAACCTTCAGTTTTTTTACTTTGGCCTTCTGCGTTTTACTTTCTTCATATCAAATATTGCATTATAGATTCAAATTTCAATATATATTCCACAGTCACCCTCTAATTGTAAATTTCTTTAAACTTTAACTAATTTGTTAACCTTTTTTCAATTTTGTGAATAGTGAGGGTGGCATGATTCCTTAATTCCACACAAGCTAACTTGCTTTTGGAGATCAGATTTGATTTGTAAGGGCTTATCCCACACTCACTATTCCCAATACCAGGTTTTTTGTCACTTTGTCTGTTTCTTGTAATTTTTAATTCGTTCAAACAATTGTATATATACTATTTTAACTTTTGACTTAAAAGTCTAATTCAGATTTTATAATTTTTTTTTTTTTAAATCTTTTTAAATTGTAAGTTTACATCCACAATTTTTGTAGATGAGCACTGATGATGGCAAATAAGCCGAAAGCGCTTTGCATTGATTAATAAAAAAGTTTTGCACGAAATACAAGTTTTTCCTTTTTGAATATATTTATTATACTGTTTATAATTTTTGTAGTTGTTATAGTTCCTTGAACTTGGGTATAATTAGGTTAAGGAATGCATTTTAATATTTTATATTATATTTTGTAATGTGTTGATTCGACACTTATTTCGACCACGTATCAATTGTATAGATTCGTTGAAATAAGTGATCAAACAATTAAGGATTCAATAAATAACTTTCATATAATCTACTTGATTTGTATTGCTATTGATAATACATGGTGATGTAAGGTATTCAAAAGACTAGTACCATCACAACATTGCCTTTTTACTTTAGTCCTGGTTATTTTTTTCTTCTTTTTCATTTTTCTTCTCAATTTATTTATTATATTTTGATGATTTAACGATATTTGGCTTTCATTTTTCCTTATTACTTTTTCATTTTCTCCAATAATATTTTTAGGTTTTCTTATATTCATTTTCCATTTTAATATTATTCTTTTTTCTTTTTAGTTATTTTAACTATTTCTTTTGTTGTTTCATTTATTTCTTCGTTTTCTTTCTTCTCATTTAATTTACTTCATTTTTGTACTGTTTTAATCATATTCCTATCTATTTTGGTTGGTTTACGTCTTATGCTTTCTTCTTTCTAAATTTCTTTCAATCATAACTATTTTTACGACTTATCCTTTTTCTTCTTTATTTATTTATTCTATTTTCTTATTTATCCTGATTTATTAATTGTTATGTTGTATTTTCAAATCTTGCTTTAAATTATTCTTGCCCTGGTTTATATTCTTTTAGAATTCTTTGAATACTGAATAATATCACAGTATATAATATATAATAATTTAAGACATGACTGGATAAAGACCTATCTATCTATCTATTTATTTTTTCGTTTAATTTAACAGTCGACTAAAATCTATGCATTATAAAATAGAACATAAACTCTAAACGTTCTTGTATTGTTTCCACCTGCTTAATAAGTAGCTAAGTAATTTTTTATTGATAGATAAGTAGCTGTACTTTTGTTACCCCGTACATAAACAAGTATATATTTTAAACAAAAGTTTATTTAACATTGTTTTGAGGTATACCCCGGTTCATTAAAAAGAACACTTAAATCATTAAAGTTAAATGTAATCACCTATTTTTATCACCAGCACCGTTGCTTGCGAGAGAGTGTATCGATTGATGGCGACATGTCTCTACGTGTAATGACTTGCTCGTATTGGTATCGGCTAGCAATGGCCCGTGTAAAATTCCCGTTGGAGTAATACAGGAACCGAGAAAATTAGGATTGGGCAAGGGTTCGGAGTCCGCGGCGTCCTGTTCCAATTAAATTCACTTTTACTACCCTATGTATGATTACTGGGGAATTTATATGAGGGCCATAAAAGGCAGAACTATCAATTACTATTTGGATTTCATTAGGATATAAACGAGAAAGGCAGAAAGAAATGTTTGTCGTTTAAAACATTAAATTATTTTTAATATAATGCATTATAATAAATAACACATTAAAATGTTATTGAATAATTATAAACAAAGTAACTTTTACTAAAATGCCTTATAAAACCATCTATTGTTGTCACTTGCATTTAAACGCAAGAAAAATAACCTCATTCTCACACCCAAATCTTTATCATGTCTGAGAGGATGTTTGATCCCTTGGATTGGTTTGGCTGCTTACAAAAGGTCTTCAAATAGTACCCCCAAGTAAATTTAGGCTTGCGTTTATGACGTAAATTCAAAATTTTAGGTAGAGATATTGAATTAGTAGATAAATAATAAATAAAACATTATTTTAAAAAGCAATAATGCGAAAAAAATGTTATCTTTTACTGGGTATATAATGTTTACTTATTCTATGTACAAATAATAAAATGTTATGGTTAAAACAAAGATGAAATAGTGAAAATGATGTAAAAATACTTACTCGTTTTCCGTGCAACTAGAATGGAAAAGATTATTGTTAGAATTTAGGAAGAATAATAAATTATATAATTGTTTTAAGTACAGAAGATAAAAAAATAGTACCTATGCAAATAAAAAAAAAACACCTTACATTCATAATAAAAAAGGAAGTAGGTTTATATTTGTGTTAATTTCATTTAATC